TTGCTTTTCAAAATGATTTTTACTTCAGATGAGATTTAAAAAAAATGCTTGAATAACTTTGGGCTGTTGACAATTGTTGCAGTTGGTGACCTCAATCATCTGATTTCTGCAACAATGAGTGGTGTCACCTGCTGCCTCAGGTTTCCTGGGCAGCTTAACTCTGATCTTAGGAAGCTTGCAGTGAACCTCATCCCCTTCCCCCGTTTGCACTTCTTCATGGTTGGATTTGCTCCTCTGACTTCACGAGGTTCTCAGCAGTACCGGGCACTAACTGTCCCAGAACTCACCCAGCAGATGTGGGATTCCAAGAACATGATGTGTGCCGCAGATCCACGCCATGGTCGCTATCTGACTGCCTCTGCCATGTTCAGGGGTAAGATGAGCACTAAAGAAGTTGATGAACAGATGATCAATGTCCAAAACAAGAATTCCTCCTACTTTGTGGAGTGGATTCCAAACAATGTCAAGTCCAGCGTGTGTGATATTCCTCCAATAGGGCTTGCAATGGCATCCACCTTCATCGGAAACTCAACCTCCATCCAGGAGATGTTCAGGCGTGTAAGCGAGCAATTCACAGCTATGTTCAGGAGGAAGGCTTTCTTGCACTGGTACACCGGGGAAGGCATGGATGAAATGGAGTTCACTGAGGCTGAAAGCAACATGAATGACCTCGTGTCTGAATACCAGCAATACCAGGATGCAACTGCTGAGGATGATATTGACTACGAGGATGAGGAGGAAGAAGAGGCTGCTGAGATGTAAAGAAGTGTGAACGGTGAGGCTACCGATTTTACAGTCTTGCTGCATAAATTTATGTACTCTTTTAATTGGTCATGGGTGCATTTCCGGTTTCCAACGGAGAGTAGAGTATGGATTGTAGAGTTGGAAAAGTGCTTGCTTTTCCTTCTAGTTGTAATAGTTGTTAAATATAACGTGGTTGATATGGGTTGTGCTGTGTTACTGTTCATATTTGTTTCTGAATTCTCGCGTTACTCTAGCTTCTAGTTCTAGCTGTCGAAAATAGAACCACATGATTGCTTAGGTAGTGTTGATGGTAGAGGACGCAGGACAGGTAAGATGACGCTGTCACTGCCAAGAAAGCTATTCAGGCTAGTATTTTGAAAGAAACTCTTGTAATGTGAAAATAAATCCTCACCAAATGAGTCCAAACAATTAAGAAGCAGATGAAACCAGCGGTTAACTAATTAGCGTAGCACGTATTTCATGGTCTCATAAAAAAAAAAGATGACGGAAGACATCTACCGCTGCTAAAATGCCGATGCAAATCCTTTAGTTGAAAATTTGAGAAGGAAAGGACGCGAAGGGAGTGCGAAGGAAGCGGAATAAATCCAGGGCAAATGTTTCTGGACAAACCGCTGCTAAAATGCCGATGCAAATCCTTAGTTGAAAATTGGAGAAGGAAAAGACACGAAGGGAGTGCGTAGGAAACGGAATAAATCCAGGGCAGATGTTTCGGGACGGAATATTGTGCACGGAAATAAAATGGTCAACGCAGCACAGCAGGATCGTGTTGGAGAGACTCCATGTGAATCAACGTGTTTCCTTGGCAGTTCTTTAGCATTTTAGAACAAGAGAGAATAATTCAAGGCCCTCACAGCTAGCATCAGACCATTCAAGTTACACCAGAAGACTCCATGTGAATCAACGTGTTTCCTTGGCAGTTCTTTAGCATTTTAGAACAAGAGAGAATAATTCAAGGCCCTCACAGCTAGCAGACCATTCAAGTTACACCAGATCGCGCTAAAAAGTTTGTTTTTTATGTGGTTTTAAATTCGAGTTTTTAGTTATTTGTATGATATGTGGCCCGGACACCCACGTTAATCTAAAAAAAAAAAAAAAAGTTACACCAGATCGCGGTCCTTTTGGCTTCACATGTGAGTCTGCAACTCTATATATATTCAAAGGGGCCTGTCAAGTGTCCCCACTGGACTCTATTTTCTTCTCGTCTGTTTCCTCAATTATTAAGCATTCCTCGTTTGAGTTTTTCACTGTACATGACTCCACTACTTATCTTGATTTCATGTTGCTGTAGATAAGCTCTGTAATATTTTATATATTTTTTTAATTTAATCTTTAATTTTTTTTTTCAGTGATTTAATTTTAATTAATAATCAATTGATTTAATTTTTTAATAAAAAATAAAATTATAAAAAATCAAAATGAAAAAGATATTAAACATAAATTAATATTTCTTATTTTTTTTATTTTGTTTAAAGAACGTTTTTTTAAATGATGATTATTTTTTTAGTGGTGCATTTAATTTTGAAGAGTTTTTATGATTTATTTATAGATATTTTTTTAATTTTTTGTATGGATAAATTTTATTTTTGAAAATAAAAAATTATTTTAGATAATATTTCTAATATATGCAGTCTTGCATAATGTTTTTTCTCATTTTATTTTTTTTGATTAATTTAATTTGTGTCTATTTTTATTATTGTTTGTTTAAATAAAAAAATTATTTTAATAAACAAATTAGCAAACACAACCAATTAAATATCTTGTTTTTTAAGATTAAATAATTCAATATACATTTATCTTGAACACTTTAATTTGTATGTCTATTTATATCATTGTTTGCTTAAATTAAAAAAAAATATTTTAATAAATAAATTAGCAAAAATAACAGGTTAAATATCCTGTTTTTTAATATTAAATATCTTGATCTATATTACTATCTTGATTTTTTAAATTTTATTTTTAAATATTGTTAATTATTTATTTAATTAATCACATATATAATTCTAGAATTATTTGATTATATATATATGCATAAAATTCTTAATTTGAGCTTAAATTTTTCAAACTACAGAAAAATATTGAAAAAACCTTCATGTCAGATCTTTTTATAAAAACAAAAATATCCGAGTCTCAACATTGCTGCGCTAGTCCCATAACTAGTGTATCCTAAATCCTGTCCAAGTTTTTGAAATCCAGATAGAGGATGATGCCAAGTACTCATTCCCTTTCAACGAGGCGCTGATTTAAGATTTGAATTCTTTAAAATTAGTCAAAGAAAAAACACAAACACAGACTCCCCCCTAATTGCACAGTCCATACTAACATCTTTAAGACTAATTCATTCTTACAATGTAGGTAAGGATGCCGGCAAAAAAGTGCACAAACCCAAGTGGCTTTGCAATTTCAAGTTTATTTTATACATTATCCCCCCCTTATCTCGGTGTTTAATTCGTGTCGATGCCCTTGGCTTATTATTGTTTGTTTAAATAAAAAAATTATTTTAATAAACAAATTAGCAAACACAACCAATTAAATATCTTGTTTTTTAAGATTAAATAATTCAATATACATTTATCTTGAACACTTTAATTTGTATGTCTATTTATATCATTGTTTGCTTAAATTAAAAAAAAATATTTTAATAAATAAATTAGCAAAAATAACAGGTTAAATATCCTGTTTTTTAATATTAAATATCTTGATCTATATTATTATCTTGATTTTTTAAATTTTATTTTTAAATATTGTTAATTATTTATTTAATTAATCACATATATAATTCTAGAATTATTTGATTATATATATATGCATAAAATTCTTAATTTGAGCTTAAATTTTTCAAACTACAGAAAAATATTGAAAAAACCTTCATGTCAGATCTTTTTATAAAAACAAAAATATCCGAGTCTCAACATTGCTGCGCTAGTCCCATAACTAGTGTATCCTAAATCCTGTCCAAGTTTTTGAAATCCAGATAGAGGATGATGCCAAGTACTCATTCCCTTTCAACGAGGCGCTGATTTAAGATTTGAATTCTTTAAAATTAGTCAAAGAAAAAACACAAACACAGACTCCCCCCTAATTGCACAGTCCATACTAACATCTTTAAGACTAATTCATTCTTACAATGTAGGTAAGGATGCCGGCAAAAAAGTGCACAAACCCAAGTGGCTTTGCAATTTCAAGTTTAATTTATACATTATCCCCCCCATCTCGGTGTTTAATTCGGGTCGATGCTCTTGGCTGAAAACGTCTAAAATCAAGGAAGCGGGAAAACAATCTCGGAACCAAACAGCGCCAATTACCCCATCGGGCCGCCCTGTAGAGAGTCTGCTTTTGGATAAAAAATCACTCTCACATTCAGAGACCCAAGCGATGGCAGCATGCTTGACTCTAAATCTAAGCAAGGAATCAGTTTTCATTAATGGCGAGGATTAGTGGAGGAGGGAGGGTGTGTTAATTAAGCTGCTCTAGGTCCAGAGTCTGGATCCCGTGATTATGATGTTGAATCCATAAGAGATAAGAAGGAGAGTAGGTGACAGTTCACATGGGGACATCGTCGCCTCATGTGGCCCTTCTAGCAAAGCTCTTTCCCACCTTTTTTTTTATTTGTCCTTTTTTGCCATTTGAAGAAAGATGCTCCTCTCCTCCAATCCCGTTCCGTTACTTAAACGTAACAGTGGTTCTTAATCGATGCAATTGGCAACAGTACCTTCTTCTGCTAATAAAATACGTGGAAGGCCCATCGCGCTCCCAAGAGCTCATCATTGAACTTTTTACCCTGTTGAGATCTTCATATCAGAATTATTAAAAACAAAATAACAATTTGAGTCTCCAAAAGTTAAAAATTAAGCAATTCCGTCCTCAAATTTGTGTCCTCTATTTGCTTTCGTCCTCTGTATCTTGTTCTCAGATAGAGCGGCCTAGGCACCTAATTGCAATCATCTGCCTGTAGTTGGGACACCAGTTTGTAATTTCCCCAAAAATAAAATGAGCACAAGATCTGTCGTTTCAACAGGTCATTATTAGTCCATTAAACCCATTTTTCAAATAACAAATATCATTGCCCTGTCAATTCAAAACCAACATCTACACCGTTGAACATTACGATCCAACGGCATCCAACGGACTAAAACGAAAGGCGAGGGAAACCACGACAGCCGTCCGATCCACCTCCACGACTATTTTCCTCCTTTATATAACTACTCATTCACTCCATTTTCAAACCAAATTATTACTTCCCTCCTCCCTCACTCCATTTGATCGAGCCTCTCTCACGCTCGATCTCTAAATCCGGAGCCGCATATTTAAATCCGGTCACCGATTTCGTAACGGTGAGTTTTCGATTTCTAGATCTGATCTCTTCTTCCGTTAGCGAATCTGTCTTGATGCCGAGAAAACATAAGAAAACAAGTTAATATCTATTTTGTTGATGAATATTTAGAGAATCTTAATTTTCTGAGTGAATTACTTTGTTTATGCAGTCTTGTTGCACTTTCTGTTTTTTTTTTTGCATTTTCTCTGCAGCCAAACAGGCTGGATCTGTAATTATTCTGTTTAGACTTTTTGTTAATCTTCGATCAAAAGCTTTATTTAGTCACTTAATTAATTATTTATTAAGATATAATTGTCTAGTGAAATTTACTTACGTTTTAGATCTGTTCTCCATGTTCTCATGCTTTACCCAGTTTTTCTCTTGCCATTAATTTAATCACATTTTTTTTCTCAACTTGCAGAGAAATAAAAAATGAGAGAAATCCTTCACATTCAAGGAGGACAGTGCGGTAACCAAATCGGTTCCAAGTTCTGGGAGGTTGTTTGCGCTGAGCATGGAATTGATCCCACTGGAAAGTACACTGGATCCTCTGACCTTCAATTGGAGCGCGTCAATGTTTATTACAATGAGGCCTCATGCGGACGATTTGTCCCTCGCGCTGTGCTTATGGATCTTGAGCCTGGTACTATGGACAGTGTGAGGACTGGTCCCTATGGCCAGATCTTTAGGCCTGATAACTTTGTGTTTGGACAGTCTGGCGCTGGAAACAACTGGGCCAAGGGTCATTATACCGAGGGTGCAGAGTTGATCGATTCGGTTCTTGATGTTGTGAGGAAGGAAGCAGAGAATTGTGATTGCCTTCAAGGTATAATTCGTGTCTTGCACTATTTTTTTTTCATTTTTGATTTGATTTTTAAAATTTTGGAGTAGTTATTATTGAATTTTCTTTATTACGTGTAGGATTTCAAGTTTGCCACTCACTCGGTGGGGGAACTGGTTCTGGAATGGGGACTCTTTTGATTTCTAAGATCAGAGAGGAATACCCTGATAGAATGATGCTCACTTTCTCTGTGTTCCCATCACCTAAGGTTTCTGATACTGTTGTTGAGCCATACAACGCTACTCTCTCAGTTCATCAGTTGGTTGAGAATGCTGACGAGTGTATGGTGCTAGATAACGAGGCCTTGTATGATATCTGCTTCAGGACTCTCAAGTTGACTACTCCTAGCTGTAAGTGCATCTTTGGTGTTTATCTGAAGATATTATTTATACTCTTTTTTTCAGTGAAAAAGGTTGTTATTGGATTTTCTGAAAAAATTTGCACAAATTTAGAATTATGCTTGTTGACGAAACATGCACGTTTAGATTATTGTCAAGTAACTCGTAATGGATGTTAGGATTCTATGTCAATATGCTCTCCTGGGCAAGTGTTTGGGGGTGGGGTTTTGTTATCTGATTATGTGAAATGTGTATGTTATTGAAGCAATGGAAATAAGAAAGTGGATTAAAGTTCCGGTATGATCATTTATTGTCTGATTTTCTTTGCTCTCAAGCCCTTGGTGCAATATCTTGGGCAACGGGCACTTTCTCATTTTCTTTGGTGCTCGGCATTATTTTTCACTTTTTGTCCGTGCCTTTGTCAGGTCTCTGTTGTATTTATGTTTTGTAGCGGTTCACTGCTTCCCGCATTTATGTTAGTTGCTTACTTTATATCTTTCGGCTGGGAAGCATTATCTTTCAATTCATGTCTTCTTGAATGAGGGGATGTAGGCTCCATGTTGCTGGTTCTCACATGAATCTTTTCAGATTTTATTCTCTAGGAGCTAAGCATTTGCTTGGTTGACAAGTGGAAGCACCAAACGTTAGGTGGCAGCTTTTAATGACATTACCGAGTCTGAGATAATTTGATTAAGACATAATGACACCGATGTAACCTTGAAAAGAGAAGTTTTAGGGTTTTTATGCATGGGAATTTGTTCGTTTGTTCACCACTAGCTTTGTTTTTTTTCCCTGTGGCGTTGATGTGGTCTTTTGACATGAGAATTGTTTGTGTTTTTCAACTGCTTGTCTTTGCATCCTTTCTGCATCACAAGAATGATTTAAATGCTGGATTAACATTGAATTATTGATTTTTGTGACAGTTGGTGACCTGAACCATCTGATCTCTGCGACAATGAGTGGGGTTACCTGCTGCCTCAGGTTTCCTGGCCAGCTCAATTCTGATCTTAGGAAGCTTGCTGTGAACCTTATCCCCTTCCCCCGCCTGCACTTCTTTATGGTTGGATTTGCTCCTCTTACCTCTCGTGGCTCTCAGCAGTACAGGTCACTAACTGTCCCCGAACTCACCCAGCAGATGTGGGATTCCAAGAACATGATGTGCGCTGCAGACCCACGCCATGGTCGCTATCTGACTGCCTCTGCCATGTTCAGGGGTAAGATGAGCACTAAAGAGGTTGATGAACAGATGATGAATGTCCAAAACAAGAATTCCTCCTACTTTGTGGAGTGGATTCCAAACAATGTCAAGTCCAGCGTGTGTGATATTCCTCCAATAGGGCTTGCTATGGCATCTACCTTCATCGGAAACTCAACCTCCATCCAGGAGATGTTCAGGCGTGTGAGTGAACAATTCACAGCTATGTTCAGGAGGAAGGCTTTCTTGCACTGGTACACCGGGGAAGGCATGGATGAGATGGAGTTCACCGAGGCTGAAAGCAACATGAATGATCTCGTGTCTGAATATCAACAATACCAGGATGCAACCGTTGATGAAGAACTTGAGTACGAGGATGAGGAGGAGGAAGAGGCTGCCTAGATGTAATGAGTTGTGCAAGGTCTATCGTCTGCTGCTGCTATTTTTCATACATTTTTACCGCTTTAAGTTCCGCGTGGTGCTTTTCAATGTCTGAGCAGTTTGAGTAGTAAATAGGGTTGGAAAATTGCCTATATTCTTACTTTCCCAGTACTTTCCCAGTTCTACAAGTTAAATATTAAGCCATGTGGCTGGTGTGAAAAAGTTTTGTATTGTTCATGTTTCAGTTCTTGCTTTAAATGCCATTTCTGTTCCCATAATCAAATCTTTAAGAAATAAAAAACTATCCATCCACAAAAGTAACGGAATGATTATCACCCAAGTGACCACAGAGATTTTATCCTTTTTACTTTTACCTTTACCTTTGTTTCTCTCTCTCTCTCTCTCCTGGTTATGCACAGCGGTAAACTAGGGGTTGCTATCAAATGTTTCTACTGTTTATAATGCCAAACCCAGCAGAGTTCGGATCCCGAACCAAGCGCCGTCCCACGGGAGGCTGACAAATTAGGCGGGACCCTTGTGGTAGAACTTGAAAAATTGAAAAACAGAAATGCTGTCACGAATCTTGTAGCCGAAATTGTTTTCTAATAATTGAAAAGGCGAAAATACCCCCCAAACAAGTTGAAAACAAATCTGATATGGAGGGTAATGAGATTATTTTACCGAGTAAAATTTTTTGAGAAGACGAATATACCCTAAAAGAAATGTTGAATGACTAATGGAGAATACAAAAGAACAAAAACATCACGATAGCAAGACATGTTTATTTTAAGAAGAGTAAACATATAATCACGCTATTCATTTTTGTGTGGGTTTGCGTTTTATATTTTGGGCAAATAGCATTTCCCTGCTGCTCATGAGATACGGGAGAACTTCAATTGTATATTAAAAATCTCGTGAATTTCCTAAACAAAAAATGCCCGGCCAATAAGCAGCAGAATCACTACTTAAACAATAAAAAAAGAAAGATGGAAATCCCTTAAAACCTGTATATGATCTGCGCTAATCATAATAAATGGTTAAGCTGAACAGACAGCTCCTCTTCGTCTTCATCGCATCTTCTCAATTGGAAGGTCTTTGCGTGTGGATCATACTTTCATCCGATACTTGTTTTTTTGTTCTTGTTCCTGCTCCTAGGCGAAGGCAGTGCAGGCCCCATATGCTGACAGAGAAAAGAAATGAGGAAGTAGACATGCTATATGCTTACAAATACGAGAATTGACGTTGAGCGGCGCGGACAAATTGGCATCATGTAGGGGGTTAAAAAGCAAAATCTTAAACCAAGATTAATAGTTGCACATATAGCAGTCAGTGGGGGAGAGACTGGAGTAGGTTCAAAAAAGGGAATCAAACCATTTCTAAGGTCTTTTCGAAGACGACTGTGGAGGAGGAGGATAAATTTGTCTTCTGGTTCTAGACTTCAGCAATAAATAGCAGCCCCTTAATCCTTCAAAAAGTAAAATACACTTGCATGTAACTTTGCAATGGTAATTGAAAGTGAGCTATTCTAAATTAAACTCGTCTTTTTAGTCTCGGTAACTACTGAGTTTTGCTTGGTTTTCTACATCCAGGATGGCCTCAATACATCTAGCAGACGAAAAGGCGGCTTCCGAGCTTGCACTTTTATCTTCAGTGAGGATGCTCCAAGAGCTTAGAAATTAAGTTTTGGCATATAAAATAACATGAGCAATGGACTAATTTGTGTCTTTTTCTGTTTTTTTTCCAGCTTTGGGAGCCCTGGAGAACATGGGATTTATAGCTAACATGGCAAGCTTGGTTCTATATTTTTATCATATCATGCATTTCGACATAGCCACTTCAGCAAATACGCTCACCAACTTCATGGGTTCGGTTTTCATGCTCTCTCTTGTTGGAGCCTTCATTGCTGATACTTTCTTGAACCGATTCTATACTTGCCTCTTATTTGGAATGATGGAAGTCATGGTACGTGATTCATACATATCAAAAAACATCTTGAATCCAGATAACCTGATCTTTTAATCTGTTTGATTTTCTTTAATCATCCACGTCTTAATCGGCAGGGTCTTGCATTGCTTACAACTCAAGCTTATTTCAAGGATTTGCAGCCTGAATTTTGTCGCAGGTCAACTTGTGTCAAGGGCGGCCAAGCAGTTATGTTATATGGATCTCTTTGTCTGTATGCACTAGGTTCAGGTGGAGTTAAGGGGGCTATTCCTGCACTAGGTGGAGACCAGTTTGATCATCATCAACAGAAGAAAGGGGCACTTGCTCGTTATTATAACTGGAACCTTCTAATTTCAACCACTGGATCAATAGTTGGAGTCACAGCTGTTGTGTGGGTTAGCATGAACAAGGGGTGGTACAAAGGTTTTTTCGTTTCAACTGTGGCTACCTTGATTGGATTCACTGTTCTTGCACTTGGGAAGCCTTTCTACCGCATCCAGCCGCCTGGAAATAGTACTTTTGTTAGGATGGCACAGGTTTCTCTCTTCTCTAGTCGCGTGCACAGACAATGTGATTATTTCTTTGCAATTATGATTTCTTACACGGTTTGATTTTTGTAAATGACTCAGGTCATAGTGGTCGCGTTCCGGAATAGGGACTTGTCTCTGCCAAAAAATCCTGATAAACTCTTCGAGATCAATGATGCATCAAGAGATCCATCTGAAGAGAGACTTTCACATTCCAATCAATTCAGGTAAACCATTGGAAACATCCTCTATGGTCCAGCATCTTAATTTGATGTGATTATTATGGCTGTTAATTGTTTTCTTCGAAACAGATTGCTAGACAAAGCTGCTATTCTTAGAGAAGGAACGGAGCCACAGCCCTGGAAAGTTTGCACAATGACCCAAGTTGAAGAAGTGAAGATTTTAACAAGGATGATCCCCATCATAGCCAGTACAATTTTAATGAACACAAGTATGGCACAGCTACAAACATTCTCAGTACAACAAGGGGTCACCATGGATGCACATCTTGGCACCAAAACAATCCCAACCCCATCTATTCCGGCGATTCCTCTGGTTTTCATGTCTGTCCTTATTCCCATTTATGAATTTGTAGCAGTCCCATTTGCTCGAAAGATAACCGGCCATCCATCCGGTATCACGCAGCTTCAACGTGTTGGAGTTGGCCTTGTTCTCTCCATTCTGTCAATGGCCGTGGCAGGTTTCATTGAACTGTACAGAAAACACGAGGTTCACAAGAATCCACCAAACAAAATCAGTGTTTTTTGGCTTTGCTTCCAATATGGCATTTTTGGGATTGCAGACATGTTCACTGTTGTTGGATTGTTGGATTTTTTCTACAAGGAAGCTCCATCAGGAATGAGATCTGTATCTACTTCTTTCACATGGTTAACATTGGCTCTGGGATACTTCACCAGCACTGTCTTTGTTGATATCATAAACTCTGTCACCAAGAGAATCACTCCAAGCAAACAAGGATGGTTACATGGGAACGACCTCAACTCCAATAATCTGAACCTCTTCTACTGGTTTTTGGCTATCCTTAACGTCATCAATTTCGTCTTCTATCTCTTCTCGGCTTCCTGGTACAAGTACAAGAGTGATGAACGAGAATCAGAGACCATTGCAAAGGCAGAGAAAGTACCGAATGGTGAGATCACTCTGGTTAAGTAGAGAACAACATTCACTTCCTAAGGAATTGATAATTAGGTTACAATTATTCATTAAAAAAAGATTGTCAATATTATTTTTCTGGACAGAATGTAAAGTACAAAGACTTCTTAATGTTCTTCATCCCTTTTATTTGGTTTTTGAGGAAAAAGCTAGTTATAACTGGCACTTCCGATCTTGGGCAATTAGTTAATATTAATTAATAAAAATCCAAAAGTTGACATTAAAACACTATATTCTTCATCTTATATTTTACTTCACTGTGGAATTATTGTTTAATTTTTTTTAACTTGTTTCTCAAACTTATTTTACATCTTTTTGGGCAAATTCAAGAATAATTAAATTAAATTTGTTAATTATGGATATACTAAAAGACATAAGACCAAAGCAAAAAAACAGCCACAATAGATAATAATTTCATAGTTCATATAAAAAAATTAATTTAGTTATCAAATTTTACATATTCAGTCTCTTAATATTTTTCTTTATAATTTTGATATAAAAATTTATTTTATTATTTTTTAGTTTTTAATTTGACATACAAAAAAGAGATCATTAGATTTTTATAATAAAAAAAGAAAAATATTGTTAGTGCCGATTTAAACCACCAAAAAAATTAATTTTTGTATCAAATAATTTAATTTAATGAGAAGACTTCAACTTAAATAAAAAAAACCTACATATTTAATTTTTTTTAATAAAAAATATCCAGCTCGAGATGTTGCTAGTAAACTAACTAGAATATATCATAAAAGGAGTGCAACTTAAGTTTGTGGTATTAGCTCATGTAATTACTGGATTTTCTTATATCTTTGATTTGAATAAGAAAAAAGGTACAAAAGCTTAAAAATAAGTTGAAGATGATACGCGTTTAAAGTGTATGAACTTCAATTTCAATTGTTTTTTAATGAATGTTTCAACTCTCTCAAAACCTAGCAATTTCGTGAATTTTAGGATTGTAAATATTTTTTTATTTAAAAATGTATTAAGATAATATATACCCTTTTAAAAATATTTTTAATATAGAACATTAAAAAAAAACACAAATAACAATAATTTTAATTAAAAAAAATCTTTCAAAATACAGTTTAATTACAGTACCAAAAACCACACAAACAAACCTCAGGCAGCCACATATCTACTAGAAACAAATTCATAATAAATGCTCTTTTTATCTCGTCGTTTCAACCTGCTATTTGTAAATAAAAAAAAAAAGGGTTGAAAAGCTAAGACATACGTGACCTAAATATTTAGCAACCTAGCTTCACCGTGAATCTAAGAATGCTTAACTTCATCTGGATTCTAATTATATTTTCCACGGGTTAAATAAAAATAATTACTAAAAAAATTATTGTAGCTATTAGCAATCTATTTTTTTCGTAGAGATTTGTTTTTATATTGTGAGTGAAAAATATTTTAATTATGAGTTAATATTGATAATATGTTTTGTATTCGTAGCAAAGTAAACCCACCATAATATATTGTATCATATAACTTTTAATGAGTTTTGTTATTTAAAAGATGTTTCGTAATAAAAAAAAATATCATTGATGTCATACAAGCAATCACAGTTCTCATCTTTTAACCAATGTAAAATAATGACATCATCAAAAATCATTAATGAGTGCTTGAAAAAA